TTTAAAAAATTCAAAAGTTTATATACATATTTATAAAAACAACCAAGTTGGAAGAAATTCAACAATGCTGAGATGTCCATGAAGAAACAGGTATAGGTGAAGAAAGCCACTTTCAACCTTAAGAAACTAGGCATCTTTAGGTATAGAACTGGTCACATTTCACTTCTAAAGAACCTCCAAGAAGAGCTCCTTGTGGCCTATGAGAGACATTCAAACTCTTAGCTTGGTATTCAAAGTCCTCCAGAATCTGGCAACCTACTTTTCAGCCTTAACTCAAATTCATTTACTCCATAGTGACTATACTTCAGCTTAACTGGATTACTTGTCATCCTCTATTTGCACATCCCATGCTTTCCTACTTCACTGCCTTTCCTCATGCAGTTCCCCATGCTCTGTATGCCTTTATAGACTGACTACCAATCTCCTCAATCAGAGTTGTCAAACACACGCCCCACAGGCTGCCTGCAACACTCCAAAGTGCTGTCTGAACCAAAAATGTAATTGGGAAATATTTAACAAAATAAATAAAAATATGAGGAAAAAAAGGCAACATTGTATCTCAAAACTAAGTCAACATGCATCCTACAGGGATCTTTATGCACAGATTAGTGGCCCCTGTTTCTGTTCCAGTTTGATATCACTGCTCTAAGGCCTGGCGCAGATGTCAGCTCTCTCTCGTAGCCTTCACTGACTTCCCTAGTCAATGATCTTATCCCTTTCCTAGAACTTTCCTAATCTTTCTTTACTCTCTTGCATGTATTTACACATATTTTGTATTATAGTAAGGGAAGATGATATACGTCCAAATGAAAACAAGCCCCATGAGGGCAGGGATTTATCTTTGCATCTCTCCCACTGAAACAATGCTCTATGTCTGAATAAATGTGGATTGAACTGAATCCCTATGGATTTATTTACTACTAACCAGCTTTAGACATCTTATCTTATTTTACCCTTGGATGCTGATTTCTTTGATTTTTAATGCTTATCAGCCCCTCCCATTTTGGGGATGCCTTTAATATCTGGCTCCTGGAATCTGACCCAATCCTCCCCGTTTCCCTCTATTCATGACTTACCATGAAGCTATCATGTACTCATATTCAATAGCATAAACTCTGCCATTCTGGTATTCTAGGAACAGAGCCATGCGGCCACTGCCCACAACCACACAGAACGGGCTATGGAGACATTCTAATGCCTGTTCTGAATATATCTATTATTACAGCTGCTATGAATCATTGACTAAAACTCTTGAACAGCTCAGCCATCACTCTCCTGCCTCCCCTTTGTTCAGTTCTTCATTTCTCATGCCTAGCCTTTGGTACTTTCTTCTCCAAACTGTTAGACAGCTGTTTAGATCCACTGCTTCCTTTGCACTAAGATTATAATAACTGGCAAATTGCTCCATACCACTCACATGTACCTGATGAGATACAGCCTCCCTGAGGATTCATTTTTCCTTGGCTAAGTTTATTTATAGGTATTCCTTTGACACTACCTGAAATCATTTTATTTAACTGCACAAGAAGGCATTTATTTTCCTCCTCCTCAAAGTAGGGCAACTCTTGAGTCCTAGTATTTCTGCCTTTCATCGAGAAAGTCCATTTGGACATTGACACAGGGCCTTAGAAGCAAAAATGATTCATTCACTCCAGTTCATTGTTTAGGCTCAAGTTTTCACATACTAGGGCATAGGTAACCTAAAGCATGAGGTACAGCTGAATTTTGTTTGACATCCTCATTAAAAACTTGACCCAAGTAGGAGTTTCTTCCGACAATGGACTGTAGAAATGAGCCAAATACAGAATATATTTGAATGGTTTTAGATTTATAAAAAGTGTCTTTTTCCTTTTTATTTTTTAAAATATTTTCCAAACACATGAGGAGTAATTATCTGACTGCTGAATGGTAGATTTGAATTTCTTTCTTTCTCTTGCCCACAGAAGAAGCATTCTTCCTAACAATTAAGGGGATGATTGAGAAGAAAGATTGAAGGCATACGTACATATATCACGAGCCCAAGTAACCCCGAATTAGCAGTATCCCTGTCCTCAGACTGCTGGTACGGCTTCCAGCTCAGCCCCTGAAAGTCATCATCCAAGGCAGGAACCCTTGTGGAGAACAGGTTCAATATTCCTACCAACAAGACCAGGTGCTGAGCAATGACCGTTAATGAAGTAGTCAAGCCGGTCTAGCTGGAGACACGAAACACCACGAGGAAGAAACAGGAGCTGGCATGAGCCAGGAGGTCAAACCTACTAAATTACCATCTCCTTTCAGACCCGGAGAACCTGTGGAAGAGAAATGCCCCTAGATCATCTACCCTGTCCTTGTGAAAAAGGTGCTGGCTACGTCTACTACCACTACTACCAATTGGAGATCAGCTGCTACAAACTGGCAGGTTAGGCCAAAAATCGAGGGGACAGCAGTGCTCCTTTGACCACCAGGCCCTACTTCCCACCCCTGCTCTCCCAGCCGTGGTCCCCAGAGGGAATGCTTGTGAAAATGCAACCTGGCAACTGTCTCTGCAGGTGTTGTAGCCCAAACTACTGAAGACACAGAAAAGAAAGTTCTTACTGCCAAAGTCCTTGACATCGTCAAATGAGTCAACAGCAGAAACCAGTCTAGTTTTAATTAATTTAACAGAAATACCATTAAAGACAATACATTACCATCTGCTTTGCCACTACATCATAAGGACCAAAGGGGCCTTTTCATTGACCTTGGGGTGAAATCACCTACACGCAATACTTATACACTTACATGTAACAGCAACACCAAACAATAACAGCTAATATTTAGATACTGCTTAGTATATGTAAGTCATCATGCTTTATAATTACTATTTTGTTTGATCCTCACCACAGCTCTGGAAGGTAAGTGCTATTATTATCCCCATTTTACAGATGAGGAAACTTGAGGCCAACAGAAGTTAAATGACTTGACCAAGGTCACACAGCTAGGAAGCGTAGTTCCTTAAGAATAGGGCCTGACTTGCTTTTCCAGTTTTATCTCTGGCACTTAGCCCAGTGCTTGGCACATAGTAAACATTTAATAAATGCCCTTTGATCCGTTCTTTCAAATCAGGGAGAAAAGATAATCACAAATTCCTTGTGTTTCTAATAGTACCTTTCATCTATAAAGTTTGAAGGGCTTTGTAAACAGATTCACTGATCTTCATTACCCCCTTCAGAGATAGGCAAAGGGCTCCTTTTATCCTCTTCATTTAATTGAGGGACTGAGAAATGGCATATTTAACATCCTCAGCATGGGATGGGTGCACTAAGGGATGTGGATTCTTTCCTTGGTTGTTTTTAAATTCATTGTGCTTCAAGAAGCCACTTAAATCTCTGCCTTCACACCAAGGCTAGCAGATGCTGTAAAGCAGGCAATGGGTCCCCGGGGAATAACAGTATGTAGGGTAAGTAAAAGTCTTTTTCTGCCACAACTGAATCCTGGAAGGCGGGCGGGGGGTGGGAGGGAGGGGAAAGAGAAGATTCTTCTTTCTTATTTTAAAGTTGGTGTCAGTCAGCTAACATTTACTACAGTGATTCTCCTAAATAAATAAATGAAAAAAAGATTGCTCTCATGAGAAATCATAACAATTGAAATGTTTGAGCATCACCACAGGAGAACTGGGAAACATACACATTAGTCTATTAGTTAACACAAGCATGTATTAAGTGCCTAGTCCAGGGGTGGGGAACCTATGAGCTTAAGGGCACATGTGGCTCTCTATATCCTCGGGGTGAGGCCTTTTGACTGAGTCCAAGTTTTACAGAACAAATCCCTTTTATTTGTTCTGTGAAGTTTGGATGCGGTCAAAGGGCTGCACTTGAGGACGTAGAGGGCCACATGGGGCCTTGAGGTCGAAGGTTCCCCGCCCCCGGCCTAGTAAATGCCAAGCACTGTGCTAAGTAAGCACTGGGGATACAAAAAGAGGTAAAGGACAGTACCTGCCCTTACTGGGGGAGACGATATGCAAACAACTGCATACAAACAAACTATAGACAGAATAGGAAATGATCAGAGGAAAGGCGACAGAAGTGAGAGGGACTGGGAAAGGCTTCCTGTACAAGGTAGGGTTTGAGCTGGGACTTGAAAGGAACCAAGGAATCAAAGAGTCAGAGATGAGGAGGGAAAACATTTCAGGGATGGTGGACAGCCACCAAAAATGCCCAGAGCCCAGAAAAGGAGTGTGACTTCTCTTCAAAACATTAAGCCATTTTGTTGAGGTCTTTATAAGGTCAAGTTTAGTGTAGTAAGTATTAAACTTGTATCGTGTATTATGCTTGTACTACATAATATAATGATGATGATATACCTGTAATATATGATATACTTATGTATTAGGCAAGTTTTGTTTATTTCATGAATACTAGATGCACCATACTATATATGTTGGATAAGTACATTTTATATTAAGCCAAATTGTTTATAATTTTAAAAATCTGGATTATCCAAAATTTTACAGAGTATCTAGTGAAACACATGACACGCTCATGATGCTATAGCATCCCCTTCAAGAATCATTGATTTATTAAACACATACTATGGGTAAAGGAATGTAGTGTGACTTGTGAATAATTATCAAGAAAATTGTAGACATGCTCACTTCCCTACAATCTCAGGGTAGAAAGGGGACAACACATGAAAAGAAGGGCATCCTCCCACCACCACTACCAGCAGCGGCACCACCAAAAAAAAAAATCAGAATATATGGAAGACTACATACAAAACACTCAAGCTAGTAGCAGTGACTCAGAGCCAGCTCTCTCTCTCATACACACGCGCACACACACACACACACACACACACCATGAAAGGTAAGCAACTGTGATGATTCTTTGGCCAGTCAGAGATTATGGGTTAGTAGGTTCAATGATTTGCTAAATGAGAGTAAGATAAGCAGTGTGACTATAAAGACATAATAAGTTCAGTTTGGTTAAAGCAAATGGAGGAAATACATAATGACTACTCATTGTATCAGTCTTAAATACCTCAAGTTTTCAATTTCTTCTTCTTTCTCTACAAGTTTCCTTTCAAGTTCTACTTTAGCCTCCAAGACCTCAAATTGAAAATGAAGGATTTTGCTCTCTTCACGTTCTAGGACACCCTGAAATCAAATACACCAAACTGAATCTGTTTTTACACAACCAAACTTAGAAATTTATTTATTTTATTTTGATGAAAGAGCCACATCATTGATCAGGCAATTAATCAGCATTTATTAAACACTTACTGTGTCTCCAAAATTGTGATAGGTGCTAAGAATACAAATACAGAAAAGGGGTGGTCCCAGCTCTCGTAAAGCTTACATTTTACTTAAGAGCACACTGTTTTAAGGACAAAGATCTTCTTGGAGTTCCTAGGGAAAAAATGCAGGGTTTTAACTAACCTTTTTCAGGGATCAGAGCAAGATCAGAGGTAATCTAGCAATCTGGTCTACACTGTAACCTTTGTCTTCCATTCTCAGTGGGTCATTCTAGCTGCTATTCAACAATTAAAATTTTTAAGGTACTAAAGGTAATAAAAGGTAACTACTTTTTTAAGGCATTTAAAAATAGTTTTTAGAAAAAAAAATAGGTATGGTAGAGACTAAAAGCTTGGATTCCTTTGACAAATCCACCAGTGGTAAATTCTTATAATATATATATGATATATATAAAAATAATTATATAATATATATATATATATAATTATATATACATATAATATATGTAAATAATTATGTTGTATATTATATATAAATAATTATGTGTATATGTATAATATATGTAAATAGGTACACGAAAGGTAATATGTATATGCATATTATGCCTTTCATGTATACACATATATATGAAAAGTAAAACTTAAATGTAAAGTCATTGAGAAGTTCATGAAGCTATTCAATAGATTCTTAGAAATGTCAGAAGTAAGATTATGAAGTCACTAATATATTGCTTGACTGAAGGAAGGAGATAGTATAATGTAGTAGAAAGAGTTTTGAATTAGGGAGTCAGGAGGTTTAAAATTATCTGCTCTGCTACTAGCTACTAGTAGAAGACCCTTAACTTTTGCATGCCTCAGTTTTCTCATTAAATACAATGTGATGATGTCATAAGTCCCTTCCAATGCCAAAACTGTTATTCTTAAGAGCAGTACTCTGAAAATAGTAATGTTGATTTTGCTATGTGGTAAGCACTGGTGGATATTTTAAAAATAGACAGAGAGAAGATATTAGGAATTTTAGTCATGCTCACCTCCTACTGCCCTGATTTCTAATCTCTCCCCTCAATCAAAAGGAAACAAGCTAAAAAAAAAAAACCATTAGATGGCTGTTTCCTCAGAGTGAGCCAATGTAGCTCCTGCAGGGGAAACTGCATAACCTCTATCTAACCCTGCAGAATTCACTGAAAAAAAAAAGTTTAATAAAAGAGCCAGAGAAGGTGACCTAGGATAACAATTTAGTTTGGGTTTTTCAAAATGTTTCTGATAAGGTTTCTCATAAAGGTTTGCCCAGAAAAAGAAATAAGCCAGTTGCACAAATTGATGGAGCCCATATTGATTAAGCTTTCATGAATATGGCCGAAGTTGGAATCAAGTACATGTGGGCAGAGAATAATGCCATCTAGTGGGAACAAACAAATCAAGGAATACAACTTTAGCAAGAGGCATGGACCAGACAGCTTATTAGGCTTGTAAGCAGAATAGCCTATATACAGTGATCTGATACCTCTGACCCAAACTCTCCCCTTGCAGCCAATCACAGTGTCTGAAATTTCCACCATTTTCTCTATACTCCTTTAGATCAATGTATTTCCTCCAGGACCCCTCTTTCCCAATGTGAATGTCTTATTTTGGAATAAATAATAAAATTATCTTCATAGCTCTTCCTCCTCCAGGATCAAACTCTTCTAAATAGATTATAACCTTTTCAAAAGAAAGGACTGCCTCTTAATCGTCTTCTTATTTACTTCAGCCTACTGCCATTTTATCAAGGACAGTCCTTTCTATTATCAGATATGCTCTGCTAGTAATCTTGGGCCGTTTCCAGTTGTCCTGATCTCTATCTGGCCACTGGACCCAGATAACTCTGGGGGAGAGAGTGAGACTGGTGACTTTGCCCAGTCCGCCCTTACTTAAATCGAATTTACTTGCGTGTCATGGCGTCACCTCCCTGATGTCATGGTTGTCTTCTAGAATGAAGAACAAATGAAAACAACCAGCAGTCTGAAGGACCTCAAGAAATGTTTGTGGGTGACAGGAAAATAAGGCTGACTGTCTAACAATTCTTGTCTGTAAACTGGTCTACTGAGGATTTCAAGCTCTTATAAGGAAGGAATCACAGTTTCTTCAGTTTTGTATCTTCACCAGTGCCTACCACAGTAAGTACATTGCATGTCGACAACACTAAATAGATGTTTCTTGAATGAATTCTCTATCCATAGATTTAACATGTGAAACGCCTTTCTCAGGAAGGAATCTTAAACAACTTTAAAGATGAGGGCCTCTGGAACAATCTTCCTCAGTATAGGAAATGCTTTTGATGGGTTGTTTCCTTTTGTCATACTCTCAAACGGTCTATGCGGCACCATTTAAATGCATTTGCTCCTCAGATACACATATTTTAAACTGCAGAGGTATTTTTTTTCTAAGGGCAAGATAGAATGAACAATTTAATAGAAAAGAAACTTGTTAACAATGCAATGAACATTATCTGCTAAATAGTTACTCCATCTTTCTCAAGCATACTGAGAAGAGCATTTTAATTGCCAGCTAATATCCAAGGGGCAAAGGGGAGTGGAGAGGGAAGGAAGAGACTTACTTTTCGTGAGACCTAAGTCAAGAAATAATGAAGAAAGTGACATGGCTCAGTGGAAGGAAATATCCCTAGTACACAGAAGGCCTGAATTTGAAGCCTGATACCACAGTATGGTGGATAGAGTGCTGCACTAGATCCAGAACACCTGGGTTCAAATCTCCCCTCCACAATGAGTAAAATGCTACCTTTGTCACCTATCTCAGAGGGTTGTTATGAAGCACAAATGAGATAATATATGAAGTCCATTGCATACTATAAAGTATATTACATAAAATTCACTTTCAACTGTAAAATGCTATATATTAACTATTAGGTAATACCTTATTTTCATACTAATAGCTGGCACTTAAATAGCACTTTCACAAAGGGTTTAACATTCTACTTTCTTGCTTTACTATTTTTCAGTCATTCAGTTGTGTCTGACTCTTTGTGACCCCCATGGACCCTAGCACACAAGGCCCTTCTGTCCTCCACTATCTCCCAAAGTCTGTCTAAGCTCACGTTTATTGCTTCCAACCCTATCTATCCGTCTCATTCTCTGCTGTCCCTTTCTCCTTTTGCCTTCAATCTTTCCCATCATCACAGTCTTTTCTAATGAGTCCTGGCTATCTTAGAGGGTTGACATGAAAGTCAAAGGTCATAATGTATAAAACAGCCTTTGGAAACTATAAAATGTGATAAATCAGCTATTTTAAATTAATATTAGTAAATAATAACAAATGTCACCGGTGTCTATATAGCATTTCACAGTTTACAAAGTGTTAGATATAAAAATTAATAATAATTGGCAAGTGCATATAAGTACCTCATGACTATGTTTGAGGGTACTTTACATTAAATCGTGAACTCGAAGAGGTAGAAACACACATCACAGCATCTGTCTTACTCAGCCCCACCGCTCTTGGTGCCAGCAGGAGAGACCTGCTTGGCTGTGCGTACCAGGGAAATGCAAACCTTCAGCTCTTCCCGGGGATAATACCTCGGCTTTTTCCAGGGCCACCTGGGCCTCTGATTTTTCCTGTTCAGCCAATCTCTTGACCTTTTCCATCTCAGACAGGTTCTTCTTTCCTTCCCTAATCTGGTCTGTCAGATCAGAGATTTTTTCTAAAGAGATAGAAAGAAGAAAAACCATGTTAGTGATGGGTACCAGCTTCAGTTTTATTAAGACAGATGCAGCACTAATATACAGTGACTCTTTGTAACACTAATTTCCCCTCCCTTTTCGCCCTCCCCCCTCCTCTTTCCTTTTTAATGGTGCTTATCCAGACAGGTTGGACTAAAGCCAGAGAATATGCATCTTTTAAAGTGCTCTCATCAGCTCCTCTGCTCTCCTGTTAGGGGGATTCAACAGCCACCATGAGGAAGGTGGACTTAGGCAGATTTGTTCTTTGCCTGCATCCAGGCACAAACCCAGATAAGCTAGAGATGCTCAAGACAGGACTAGAGTAGGCAACAGCCCCTCTAAATTTTAAGTGCATGAGCTCCTGAATGTAAAGGGAAAGAATCAAGCTTTCAATAGGGTGATGTAGCCAGCACTGTCGGAAATTCAGCTGCCTGATAGCATTATTGTCATCGTGCCTCATGGTAAAATCTCAAGTACATAAAAGATATATTGTGAGCCAGGGGGCATCAGAAAGATAATGTGACTTTGGAAGTAGATAATTAGCCACAGGCTGTGGTGCTCCAAGGTCCAATACCAGCTGTGTCCTTCTGACCTGTGCTTGGTGACTCTGCGTCCATCACTTAAATTGTTTGTGCCTAAGTTTCATCCTTTTGTAAAATACGAATGATGAAAATGCTGAATTCCCTCATAAGGTCTATGGCAGAGTCTATAATCTTAAAGAGGTTGCAAAACACTTTATAAGTGCAATTTAAATGTTCAGTAATTAGCAGCCTTTACTGGGGTCACATATTCCGACATGCATTCTCTCTAGAACGGGATTGACTATGATTGACAGATTGGGGACAGACTCTGACCTGGACAATTTGCAGCTTCTACTTCTAAGCCAATTGTACCCCACCCTGCAAGGGAGCTATGATTTCATTATCATGAACTCTTTTAACTACAAGAGAGAACAACTCATCCAAGCCTTCTTTGTCATCCTGTGTCTTATTCATAATTTTCTGTAAGGTAGCTAGGTGGCATAATGGATAGAGAGCTGGACTTGGGAGTCAGAAAGACCTGAGTTCAAATCCTTCCTCCTGCACCTTGGACAAGTGACTTAGCCCCCCTGAGCCTGTTTCCTCATCTGCAAAGTGGAGATAATAACCTCCCTTAAAGGTTTGTTGCAAGGATCAAATGAGGTAGCATATGTAAAGGGTGTTGCAAACTTTAAAGCACTATATAAAAGCTAGCTATTATCATTATTAAGTCCTCCACAGAGAATTTATCTGACATACTGAAGGCCTTTCTCAGGTTCTTGTAAACATTACACGAATCCCAGTGAACCACTTGGCCTGTCTATTCATCCCTTACCCTCACAACTCGACTAGCTCATGGCCTTGACTGGTCACACATGGGCTGAGGTCATCTGCAGTACCTGTCCAAAATGTATATAATGATGTGCTAACTCATTGCATACTTGGGTAATAGGATTTTTTAAATTCCACTCAATTTTTCAGTGTGGGTGGCTAGGTTGCTCTCAAGTGACCATGGATCTCATTGAAGGAGTCCTTTAGTGTTCAAGGGCTCACTGAAATCAGCACATCATCATCTACCTCCAGGAACATCTGGACAATCTTGCCATACATAGGGAATTCCTCTTTGATTTGGACTTTGCACAAGGCATCTACCATTTCTCTGGTGAATACCATCAGTGAACTTATATCTCCCTGTTTTTTATATCTCCTGATATTGATAGAGATAATCATTTAACAATCTTCTATCTTCAGTTGTGTCAATGATCTTAACATCTTGGTAGCAGATACTTTGAAGTGAACCTTGAAGAGTGAGTTTTGTTCTACAAAGTCAAAGTCAAAGGCGCATTTTTTTTAAATCAACAAACTATAGACAGAGAAGGATCTTACAATCTCTACAATTGTGTGGCTCTTTCTGATGTAGAAAATCATTTGAAAAGGCTTGTCTATTCCCTTCTCATATTTTCATTAATGATATCTTCAGATACTTGTTTTAAATGCTCATAGGCCACTAAAAGATCACAAAGCATATGGCTTTCAGGAATTTCACTCAAATATCTCCTGGCTAGAAAGAAGAGTTACAGCTAACTCACTTGTAGCTAGTATTCTAGGCATACTCTTCCCTTGAGGATACTACAAGGAATTCAGAAATTCACCGTTCAGATATAGATTCCAAATAGACTCATTCATCATGATCCCTCTAAGACTTGTATCAATGCATGGAGGTCAGGGTGGGGAGGAGGTAGTAGGGCATAGAACAGTGCCCCAATTCCTTCCTACTCTCATTCACAATGAGGCACTACATACTCACTGGGGTTGGAAACCCAAGCACTCTAGTCTCAATGAATGGAGTTTTTCATACTCTCCACCATAAACAGACTCCTTCCCCTTTCTCCACACTCATGCACAAACCACTAGGGTTCTTGTCTCCTGATATTCCTGCTGCATATATGCCAAACTAACCCTTAGTCAAACTGCTTTTCTCATTCTATCCTCTATTTAAACTCTGGCAGTTCTAACTGTCCCCCACTAGCTCTCAGTTCACCCTCCTCCTTTCACACACCCATAGGCTAGCTTCTACCATGATATTTAGTAAATACCATCATTTTGGTGGTTTTAAATACGGACAGGTCATAATTCACAGCTTTGGGCAGCTGTCAGACCCTGGTGCCTTCCAGACACAGGATAATACTGTTTTGTCAGGATTCTCACAGTCTATCAGATTACAAACTGTGAACATACCCCCCCCCCCTTCACTATCACCCATGGTGATTTCTGGTGGCAAGAAGGACATAACTGGAAACTTTCAAGATTGAAATTCTGCATCTCCTGGCCACCCCTCCCTTCCCCGCTTTCTATGATTTGTTGACAAATTTTCTACCAGAATCTCCACATACATACTTTGTGTTTAGTGAATTCTTCCCAGACCCTAGCTGTTTTCAAAACTTCAGGAAAGAAGTGGCATACTTTTGGACCACAAAAATGTGGAGAAGCCTTCTCTGAAATACTAGAAACAATGCAGAGACTCCATTTCTAGATAGGCTAGCTGAGAAGAAAAGTCACATCTTCATCTTTTTTCAAGGATTCTTATATACTTTTTCATCTGAGATCTCCCACACAACCTTTTTCTCAGAATCTCAAGTTTTGAAGGGACCAAAGAGACAATTTAGTCCAACCTATATTTGTTTAGGAATTGACATTGCAACACCCACAAGGAATGGTTATCCACTTTTAGCCTGAATACCTCTAGCAAGGAAGAGAAAACACTGGTTCCTTTAATAGTCCATTTCACTAGGGGGTAGTACTGGTTAGAAGTTTCTTTCCCCACTTCAAATCTAAATTTGCCTCTCTACAGCTTCTACCCATTGTTCTGAGTTTTGCCCTATCAGGTCAAACAGAAAAAGTCAAATCCCCTTTTTAAAAGTGACAGTCTTTTGATTATTTAAAGACAGCTATCATAACTCTGCTAAGTCTTTACTGTTATTGTTATTGTCATTAGGGGGAGACTGGATCTCCCTATCTTTCCCAGGCTGGAAGTACAGTGGCCATTCATGGGACCAACTCCTATACTGATCAATACAAAACCTGCTTCATTTTTTTGAACGTGGGCTGGCTTACCCTGCCTTAGGCAGCCTAAAGGTCCTCCTCTCCTGGGAGATTCACTATATTGGTACCAGAGTTAGTATAGAAACCTGATTGGCTTTAGGCTTATTGTAGCTCAGAATTCCCAAACCTAATCAATCCACCAACCTCAGACTCCTCTGTATCAGGGACTACAAATATATGCCCATGTGCCCAGCTAAGTCTTTTCTTCTTCAGTTAAATATCTCTAGTTCCTTCATCAGATTTTCCTATAGCCTGATCTTGAGGCCCCCCTATCATCCAGGTTGCTCTCTTCCAGATGCTCCCCAGCTTATCAATGTGGTCTCCTAAAATGTGGTCCCCCTTTTTTTCTCTTAAGAAATTGGCATGATAACTTTATTATATATTTAAAAGGAATAGCAAGTTGTACACAATAGATTTGCAGTTTCATGTACAGTCATTTTTTTTATTATACTATGTTATGGAAATGCTTGTTCTATTCCATAAATTAAAAATAAAATAAAATAAAAGCTAGATTCAGAAGCTCAAAAAAGGTTAAGATGTGGTGCCCAGATGTGATCTGATGACATCGGAGTAGTGTAGGACCACAACCTTCCATGTTCTGGGTATCACTGTCATTGGCTGTCATGTCATACAGTGGTTGAAAAATTTAGAGCTGGAAAGGACATTTGCAGTCATCTAGTCCAACATTATTGGACTAGAAGCTGAGGCGGAGATAGGTTAAATGATTTGCCCATGGTCACACAGGTAATAAGTGACAGAGTTGGGATTCAAAGTCAAACCCTGTGACCCTAAGTATCCTTGTAACTATACAATATTGCTATTGAATATTCATTCCATTAAATACCACCCCTTCTGAGAAATTTTCCCAGGAATCTTCATCTTGCCATCCATCCCCCATAGTATATCTATGAAGCTGATTTTTTTTTAAATCAAGTTACAGGAAGACTTCACATTTATCTCTATTTCATTACATCCCATTCTATCTGACCCAGCGTTCTAGTCTATTGAGATCACTTTGGTCCAGCTGGTTCATCAGTGTTTGAAGTAGCTACACAAAGGGCTATACAAACATAAGGCATAGACATAGTTACATGAATACATAAAGACTTTGTTAACATTGTTTTCTCCAGGTCTGTGGTCTGCCCAACATACCATGGAGGTTCTTGTTTTCTCTTTTCAGAGCCTCCTGGTTCACTGTAACCTCTTCATAAGCTTGCTTGAGCTTAAACAGCTCTTTGCTTATGCTTGTTGCCTCTATCTGAGCAGCTTCAAGCTCTGCTTGAGAGTTATCGTATTTCTGCTTCCAGTTAGTAAGGACTTTGTCAAAGTTCCTCTGTTTCTCATCAAGGAAGGCTGCCGTACAATGGACTTCCTCCAGGTCAGATACAACGTCCTCCAGCTCCAACCGGAGACGTTGTTTTGTCTTCTCAAAGGAGGTGCTTTTGGCATTGGCTTCCTGGATGGCCTCTCCAGCCGCCTGGAAGCAAAACCCTAGCTTCTTCCTAAGGAGAAGAAAGGGACGATAAAAGAAGCCCTACTAAGAGAACCCATCCAACTTCATCTCTGAATCGATATAGTAAAATACTTAACAAGAGGGACCAGACATTTGAGATACATATATATGTATGTACGTATATATGGGTATGTATATATGTAATACACATAGATGGATAGACAGACAGACAGAAGGTTATAGTCCTACACTACTCTGATGTCATCCAAACAAATCTGGACTATTTTGTCAGTTTGGAGGATGACATATATATGTGCATGTAGATATATACACATATGTGTGTGAGTGTGTATATAAATATGTGTTTGTACACATACACACATATATATGTATATGTACAAATTAAGCATATGTAAATATACCTATATGTACAAATATACACCCATATTTCAGTTATATTTAGTATTACTACCAGTATACTCAGTATACTATTTATTATATATACATACATAAATGTATAAATTCACCTATGTATATTTCAGTTATATACTATGCTTAATATATATATATATATGCATACATAAATATGTATATGTGTATATATTTTTAGGTGTGTATGTTGTTGTTCAGTCATTTTTCAGTCACATCTGGCTCTTCATGACCCCATTTGGGGTTTTCTTGGCAAAGATACTAGAGTAGTTTGCTATTTCTTTCTCCAGCTCATTTTACAGATGACAAAACTGAAACAGACAGGGTTAAGTGACTTGCCCAGGGTCATACAGCTAGTAAGTGTCTGAGGCCAGATTTGAACTGAGGAAGGCAGAATCCAGGGCCAGCACACTATCCACTGTGCCACCTAGTTGCCCTGAGAACTGGGGGGATGCTTTTAGGACATCTCCTGTAGAATAGGCACTCAAACAACATGTCTGAGATAGTACTCATTATCTTTTCTCCAAAATCCACCCTATTGTACACTTCCATTTTACTGTTGAAGGCATCACTATCTTCTCAGTCACCTAGGCTCATACCTCAGTGTCATCCTCGACTTCTTGCTCTTACTCAACATACATATTCAATCCATTGACAAATCTTGTTGCTTCTTTCTCTGAAACATCTGTTGAATACATCTCCTTCTCTCCTCTCACACAGCCACAACCCTAGTTAAATCTCTCTTCACCTCTCACCTGGACTATTGTCCCAGCCTTGTTGCTCCATGTCAAGTTATTTTCTTTTTTTTTTTTAGGCAGTTGGGGTAAATGACTTGCCCAGGGTCACACAGCTAGTAAGTGTCAAGTGTTTGGTCTGAGCCTGGATTTGAACTCAGGTCCTTCTGACTTTAGGGCCGGTGCTCTATTCATTGTGCCACCTAGCTGTCCCCCAAGTTATTTTCTAAAGCTTAGGTCTGACCATGTCATTCCACTGCTCAATGAACTTCAGTGGTTCCCTATTGCCTCCAGGATCAAATAAAAATCCTCTATTTGGTATTTAAGCTCTTCATAAGTTGATTCCTTCTTGCCTTTCCAATCTTTTTACATTTTACTCTCCTCCACTCATTGGCATATTTATACTTCCTTAATATGACACTCAGTATGATACTAAATCTCCATGCTTTTGCACTAGTTGTCCCCCTACTCCTGGAATTATTTGCCCCCTAAACTCTACCTTTCAGTTTCCTTCTCCTCTTTCAAGACTCAACTTAAATTTTATCTTTTCCTGAAGATCTTACCTCATACACAAACTCTTATGATCCTGGGCAAGTCATTTAACCTCTTAAACTCATCTTTAAAATGAGGGGGTTGGATTTGATGGCTACTAATCTCCCTTCCAGCTCTAAATATATGGAGGAGAGGGGAGGGAACGAGCATATATGGATTTATGTAGCATCTACTATGTGCCAGGCACTGTACTAAGTGCTTTTACAAGGATAATCTCATTGGATCCTCACAACCACCTTAGGAGATAGGTACTAGTATTATATCCATTTTACAGTTGAGGAAACTGAGGCAAAAGAAGATACGTGACAAAGCTAGTAAGTCTCTGAGGCTAGACTTGAACTCAAGCCTTCCTGACTCCAAGACAAGTGCTCTATCTACTGCACATATGACAATAAATAATATATTATTATAATATATAATAGCATTGTATAATGTAATATATTTATGTATTATTTGATAAAATTGTATAATATATTAGATAATATTATTTATTACTCCTGCATATTGTACAATGTGTAACAATATTCTATGACTATAGAATATTATGTACTGAGACAATATATATGATAATATGACCCTATGATTGCAAGAAATCATATTTCAAAAAACAGCAATGAGACCTGAAGAAGGAAAGGGTATATAGACAACTTAGCTTAAGACCCAAGGAAACACAGCTAAAGAGCATTTATCGACGAAATTAGAAAAAGGACAAGTAGAAATGAAATCGATAGACCCACCAAGATGTCTCCATTGACTAAGGTCTTTCACAACCTGGCTGCGACGTATCTTTCCATCTTAATATACTTCGCTTTCCTTCACCCCGACCATGGCCTGGCCCAACTGGTCTCCTTATTTTTATATGACCATTTCTCCTGTTTGGCCACATCCATGCCTGCAATCACTTTCTCTTCACCCTGACTTCCTTCAAAGCTCAGCTTCCAATGATGCCTTTTATCTGAATCCTTTCCTGATTTCTTTGCCCCCAACCCGACCAGCTGCCAGTGCCTCCTCTCTCAAATTACTTTCAATCAATGTTGCAGATATTCTGTGGATATCTCTGTATGTACCTGTCCTCTTCCTCACCTGTACTCTAAGCTCCTTAAATCAAAGACTATCTCACTTTTATCTTTGTATCTCAGCACTTAGCATAATACCCAGTACATAGTAGGTGCTTAATAAATGCTGGTTGATTTATGGGCTTGATATCACTGATTACAGTAGAACCACCATATATGGACTTTAACTAGTGTTTCCATACTGGTGTGCCATATGAGAAGAATGGAAATGACATTTATGAAAATCAAGTTGGGAAAAAATGATTGGAGCGTATCTGACAAGTGGCCACCCAACCTTAGCTTAAAGCATGTCATTGAGGTAGGGAGGGAACCCACTACCTCCCAAAGTGGCGATTCAGTTTTTAGATAGCTCTCATTGTTACGAAGTTTGTTCTTATATGAATTGGCAGCTTTGCAACTGCTACACACTGCTCCTAGTTTCCTTTTGGGGTCAAGCAGAATAAATCTAATTCTAGTTCCAGACTATAGCCTTTTAAATACTTGAAGATAGTTGTCATATCTTCTCTTCTCCAGGCTAAATATCCCTAGGTTCCTTTAAGCAATTCTCCAGTGGCAAATATCTGAGCAAATACAAAGGAAATCCATGTTGAAGGTGACAGAATTTTAAAGACACTTACAGATTGATTTTTCAAGTCCTTAAAGAGAGGAAGATTATAAAACATGAGAAAAATCCACAGACAGTATTAATATGATCAAGAGAGATGATTAAGAAGACTTCAATTAACTACTGACCCACAGGCCTACTATCTCATTGTTGTAAAATCATTATGAGAATATCCTGAGCGTATAGTCAGGGAGTCCTTGATAATACCCTAGCAGGGCAGCTAGACGACACAGTGGATAGAATGCTGGAGCCGGAGTAAAGAAGACTCATCTTTGTGAGTTCATATCTGGCCTTACTAGGTGTATAACCCTGCTTGCCTCAGTTTCTTCATCTGTAAAATGAGCTGGAGAAGGAAATAGCAAACCACTCCAGTATCTTTGCCAAGAAAACCCCAAACAGGGTCACAGAGTTAGACATGATGGAAAACAACGGAACAACAATGATCCTTGATTATTATGATAATCATAATAATGGCCTTATTCATCCTTCTCATGCCCCTAATCACATTCTATCCTGACCTTCCATTGTGCCCTCTGGAACCTCCAGCCTATTGCCCTTCATATTAGGTCTTTGTCCTCCCCTTGGAAATCTCGATTGAATTTTCTGTGTGCATTTTCTTCCTCCTCAACAGTACAAAAGCTTCTGAAGGAGGACTTCTTTGTTGTTGTCTTTGTGTCTCCAGTTCCTAAAATGGTTAATGGGGCATAGTAGGCACTTAATAAATGCCCACTGAATTTAATTGAATTGAACACTACAGTGATACCCTAGTGAGTTTCATAACCACTCAAGAGACTGGCACAGAAACAGGCTGACACAGACTGACGAGCAGGGGAAAATCAAGTCGATGAAGAATGAATATTTTTCAGATTATGAAATGCATTTGGATGGACAGTACATTGAGTTATTCGATGAGTTCATATATTTTAGGCAGACACTGAATATGGGCAATGAACTGGGCTCAGAATTGAATAGGACGAGGAGATTGGGCTGCATCACATTTGGGAAATTGCATGGCTCTTTCAATGATCTCAAACTACTCCCTGCTGCCAAAGGACATCCTTTTAACACGAATATTCTCCTGATGATGCTGTATGGCTGCAAATCATGAAACACAACGACCCCAAAAGAATTAAAAACTGCAAATGGTGCAAGAACAATGGGAAGATGCATGGTAAATATAAGTAGGTGGGGCCATGTTACGTGGGGTAATATGACACTTTCTCATGGGCAGAAAACATCATCCATGACATACTTTGGACTGGAAAAGGAGACGGGCTAGTTATGCCATTGAGAGTGACATATGACAGAGGGACATTCTGAGTATTAACGCTGGCTGCTCATGAAATATTCAAAGACCCAGGGGAAGACCTCTACAACACTGGGCAGATGGAAATAATAACAGTAGCTATTTCATAATGCTGTTGTATGGATCAAATGAGATAATGGATGAAAAGCATTTTTTAACCTTAAAGCATTATGTGAATGACAGATATTTACCCTCTATAGAGAGATACTTGCCCTCTAAAGAGATATTTTTATAGAGGGATATTTTCCTCCTATAGATGAAGAACATGGACTCCTGTAGAACTTCCATTCAGGTTGAGAAGGCACAGATGCATGATGGTCCTTACCCATGAAGAGAACTTTACTACTGTAATGGGCTGTAACAAGGCAACTGGGGGCGTAGTTGATGGTGTTGGGAGTCAACACTTGGAGTCAAGAAGAGCTGAATTCCAATTCAGCCACAGACCCGCACTAGCTGTGTGACCCTGGGGAATCACGTAGCCTCTTAGAGCCTTAGCTTCTTTATCTGTAAAATGGGCACAATGATAACATCAGCCTTAGAATGTTATTAAGATTAAATGAAGCTATTTATGTAAAGCACTATGTAAACCTTAGAATGTTATAGAAATGTGAGCTATTCTCACTGTTATGAGCTCACAGCTCCATTAAAATCTGTGCACTCTATTGTTTACAAGGGGCTTTTCAAAACAACCTTGTAAGAGTTACCAAAGGCAAGATTATTCCCATTTTACAGATGAGGAAACGGAGATTCAGCAATTACAAATCTTTTGCCTAGAGTTATACACCTAATAAATCTGTATTTGAACCCACTTATTCTGGTTCTAAATTGAGTGCCCTATTTATACTACACTGTAATAAACTGAAGTCCAATACTATAGTTGAAAAATAGGCCCATAGATTTCACCCTGGAAGGGATCTCAGAGTTATCTAGTCCAGTATCTTCATTTGATAATACTGATACACAGAGAGAAAATTCCTGTCCTGGGCCCTCTTCCTTTTTTTGCTTTCTAACATCTCACTTGGGTTCACATAGGCTCATAACCAGGGTATCATTCTCAACATCTTTCTCACATTCACTCTAGATATACAAACTATTACCAAATCTCATCACTCTTTTCTCCATGTCTCCTGTATACACCTCCTTCTCTCCACTTAGACAGCTATTACCTTTAGCTCAATCCCTCATCACCTCTGGACTGAATTACTGTGATAACCTCATAATTAGTCTCCCTTATATCTCTTCCCGACTTTATTCCATCCTCCACTCAGCTGCCAGAGTGATTTTCCAAAAGCCAGAGTTACCCACCCAACGCAATGGATTTCAGTGGCCCTCTTCTATTCCCTCTGTTTGGCAATTAAAACTCTTCATAATCCAGCCTCTCCAGTGTTCTTACACTTCAATCACTACATACTCTATGAGGCAGATACAATGGCCTACTTGCTACACTTTGCACAGGACACTCCATTTTCAATCCTTGCCTCTGCATAAACTGTCCTTTATGCCTAGAATGGTTTTCCTCCTCACTTCTACCTCTTAGTTTCCCTGGCTTCCTTCAATCAGTCAATCATTAAACATTTATTAAGCACCTACTATGTGACAGGCACTGTGCTAAGTGCTAGAAATATGGGCAAAAACAGTCATTGCCCTCAAGAAGCTTACATTCTAATGACTTCAAGACTGAGCTCCAATTCTGCTTTCTTCAGGACCCCTTTCCCAGTCTCCCCAACTTTTGGTTGGCCATTCCTACTGAGAGTTTCCTATAAGGAGTTTCCTACTAGGAGTTGCCATTCCTACTAAGATTTTTTGCCATCTACTTGGTATACACCTTGTATGTACCTAATTGTTCACCTGACATCTCTCCTGTTAGAATATGACCTCTTTAATAATATGGGTTGTTTCTTGCCTTTCTTTATCTCCCAGAGCTTAGCATAATGTCTGACATAGAATGAATGCTTAATAAATGTTTTTTGATTGACTCATTGCTAAATATTTAAATACTGAATCTGCACATGGCATTTGAAGGGTGCAAGGGTGAGAGGGAAGCATAAAAAGTCACAAATAATGTAGATCCCACCCTCAAGAAACTTATTATTTGGGAGAAGTAAAAAGGAGACACTAGAATGGGGATAAAGTAGCCTATATTCTATTTCTAAAAAAGCAAACAGACAGATCCTCAGTTTCCCAAATTTAAAGTGGGTATGCTAAAATGTGTGCCATCTATATCCTGACGTGTTTATAAAAGAGTGAGCTTCCCTTTAAGCTTCTAAGATGAAAGCATGATCTAGACAGAGCTTGATTTATTTATTTTTGCCACTATTTAAGAAGAAAGAAAATAAATTCTCCACAAGCCATTAATGACAAAAATGGATGGATTGATATCCCTGACCTAATTAAAGTCTATTCACTCCAAGACCAACTCCAACAGAACGATGTAATCATCAGACCAGACTCCCTCTCATTCGCTCCTCTGCTCTCCTTAAAAAAATTTTAAAACTCATCAAAGTAAAATGAAAGATAGCTGCCTTTCCCATCCATCTTCCATCATTAGAGGAGGAAGAATCTCACTTCAAAAGCAAATGCTATATTTAGAGTTGAGGAGACATTTCATTTCAAAGTCCCACTTCTCTATTGCCCACAGTTTTCAATAACATCTGATGCAGGTATTTTTAGTGTCTGTCATCCCAGAGCCCTTTTAAAGTGACTGTGGATGCAGAGACAGATCACTTTGCACACCTCTGGGACAGAATACAGCTGCTGCTCAGGGACCACTTTATGGGAAGAATTGAAAAGAGAGAATGCCATCGGTTGAAGCCAGGAGAGGAGTTTAGTTGTCCGCTCTGGATTTGGGCCAAGACAGCAAGCAAAGGACTTATTCTTTTGAGCAAAGTTCTGTCGTGATCACAGGCCCTCATGGCAACTGTCTGACGTCTTTTCTGAAATATACCCAGTTCTTTAGGATCTCAGAACAAAATGCTTCAGTAGCTATGTTTGATGCCTTACTAGTGATCCTCCGAGCCAGCTGGGCCCTATATTTCAGGAGTTTCAATGGAAAACAAGAAAAATCTTTACATCAAGTTGTCAGTGAAATTCATTTTCTAACCCATAGCATTTAGCTTGGGTGGCCTGAGCATGCCTTAGGGTTATTGTTGTTGTTTGCTTATTTGTTTGATTTCAGCAGGGGACAGCATGGTATACTATATGGCAGAAAGAGCTCTGGCTTTGCTATCAGTAGATTTGAGCTGAAACTCTGCCTTTGACATTTACTGCCTGTGTGACCTTGGACAAATTACCTCTCTGTGCTTCAGCTTCCTATAGAACGAGGGGGCTGGGCTCTGTCATGTTTAAGGTCCCCTCCAACTCTGAATCTATGACCTTATGGAGGCCGATGGAGATCTATATACAAAGCCTGCCTCTGTCATTAACTACATATGTGACTTTAGGCTAATTTAACTTCACCTATCTCCTATCTATTAACTCCCATTCTATTCTAATCTGTTATCTTCTACCTATTAACTTCACCTATCATCTAACTTCTCTAGGCCTCATTTTCCTCATCTGTAAAATGAGGGCATTGACTTAGATAACCTAGATGGCTCAGTAGATAGAGCACTGTACCTGGAGTCAGGAAGACTTGAGTTCAAATCCAGCCTCAGACACTTACTGGCTATGTGACCCTTAGTAAGTCATTTAATTTGTGTTTGCCTTAATCCACTGGAGAAGGGAATGACAAGTTACTCCAGTATCTTTGCCAAGAAAACCCCATGGACAAGAGCCTGATGTGCTATGGCCCATGGGGTCACAAAGAGTCAGACATGCCTAAACAACTTAACAACAACAACAAAGGTTCCTTCCAGCTCCAAATCTATATTCTTTAGATTTTTGATAAAAATTGAATCTCTTTAGTACCATGAAACAAAAATTCTGAGTGCAAAAGTGCTATCAGAAGTCCCTGACCCACTTTTTACTGACCTCTTATAAACCACATATATGAGGCTTAAGTGCAGAGATGTGATGGCTACTTACACACACACACACACACATGTACTCACACGAGTGCATACACACACACGTACTCACACAAGTGCATACACACACACATACTCACATGAGTGCATACACACACATGTACTCACACGAGCGCATACACACACACACACACACACATGTACTCACACGAGTGCATACACACACACACCACACACCCAATTATTTTGGTGGCCAAAGTGGAACATGGCTGTAAGGGTGTCTTTCCAAGCCATATCAGTCAAATCATGATCTTTTCACTCATCCACAGAACTAGCTGGGACACTAAATTCATCAGAGAACAGTCGACAGGTAGCACCACTTACTTGGCTTCATCAAAGTCTTTACTCTTCTGGGGAGTACGCGTCTCATAGTGAGTCCTCCAGTGTACCACCTCTGCATGCCCCTTGGTCAAAGCCCATAGCAGCTTATTCTTGGCCTCTTGTTCTTCCCTGTATTGGCCCTTCAGAAGGTCATAATCATGTTTTGCCCACTGCAGGGCATGTGCAAGGACTTTCTTGGACTACAAATGACAAAGGTACCTTTGTTAATTATAGCTTGGGAGTGGGCCAACCTGCCCACAAAAAACGAAGTCCAACAATATACTCTACTCCCAATACAGGCTACAGTGAAATAGAAAAAATTGGGGACTATAGAACACAGGACCAAGAAAGGAAAGATTAAAGTGGTTTTTTTTAAAATTGCTGCTCTCATAATTACGTAGGGGAGATTAATTTGTTCAAGCTTGTCCTTGTTTGAATATTTGGACACCTTGGGCATGTGGACAAATAATTCCAAAAAAAGGGAACAGAATTTTAAAGTAAAAATATTCATTATCCTTTAGGCAACAGGAAACATGTCTTATAATGTGCATGAGGTTATACAGGCCCGAGTCTTTCCCTCATAGCATATCTCTTCTTCCCTTTAGCAAATCTAGTATTAAAAGGAAAATCAGACACTCTCATCCAAACTATGTCTGACCAAGAATGCCTTCTACAACACTCCTGACAAGGATCATCCAGCCTTGTGTAAAGACCTACTATAAAAAAAGAATGATTTCCAGCAAGAGTAAATCAAATCTGCCTCCCATGTGAAAGCTTTTCAAAGACTTAGTCATGGGATAATGAACTTAAAGCTTAAAGGGACTTGAGGGGTTGTTTAGTCCAACCCTTTCATATTATAGCTGAGAAAACTTAGGCCTATAGAAATTAAGTGTCCTTCTTCGTATCTCTAGTGTTTAGTGTAGTGCCTGGTGCACAGAGTAGGCACTTAACAAATGCTTGTTGAATTGTTGACTTTTCCATTTCCACCATTTTTATTTAGAGCCAGAAGGGACCTCATGGTCCAAACCTATTGTTTCACAGATGAGGAAATTAAGGCCTGAGGAGGATAAGCTACTTGCAGTTGAAACCTAGGTCCTCTGATTCCAAATCCTGTGGTCTTTCTGATGTACTGTGCTTCCTCGTGAACTATCATATCCCCCTTAAGTCTTCCCTTAAGTTCTTCAAACCTCTATTTGCATGACCTGGTCACCAGTACCCCTACCATCCTTTTGCCCTTTTCTGGATGATCTCTAGTTTGGTGACCCAGTCAACCCGGCAGTGCATTTTCATTAAAACCTCATCTGAAAAGCAAGATGATAACATTTTACAGTGAGCTGACTGAAGGAGTTTCTAAAAATATCCAAGGATATTTTACAGAGATTTGCCATAACTCTATTCTTGAAACCCATGACTTATTGGTGCGACCGCTTTATATCAGGGTTATTTTTGTCTTTTGTTAACTAAATCTCCTTGAATGGGTTATTAGTTGAAACTATCTTATACTGAATTTCATTCTGTAATGGTCTCATGAGAGTGGTGCTGATCAGGGCCCTCAAGAAACTAGATTTCTCTTATCCTAACTCTAATAATACCTACCTTTGTGATTCTGGGCAAATGACATAACCTCTTTGAGTCTCAATTTCTGCATCACTAAAATAAAAAGCTTAGATGAGATGATTTCTAAGGTCCTTCCTGTTTCTAGAGCTCCATGATTCCAAATTCTCATGTTTCAATCGCCCATGCTAATTGAGATTCTGTTGCCACTGATATTGCTTATTAGTAATTTTATCTTCTCTCAGAGGAAGCCATGGTTATTATTTTTATGATTCGCTGATAACTTTAATAACAAATCCAAAATATTGCTGATCAAATAAAGCCACACAGTTATCATTATGTCTTCCACATACATTCAATCAAACATTTCATTAAATACTTCACCTTTTGGGGATTTACTTTTCTAAAAGTCAAAACTTTCCCCTCTCTCTATAGTGATAAAAGCAGAATGGATAAATATGCCTTACTGGCCCTTAATCTGACAGACTATGGAGAAAATCTGAATTCCTGAAGCAGAATGCTTAGTAATCAAAATTTATTTGTGAATATTGAAATCTTCCTGACACACGCAGTACCCAACCTCTGTTTTCCTATAATCTAAAATAAAGTACATTTCCCAATTCATTTGAAACTAAAAGACTTTCAGGACATCTCAGGTCTAATTGAAAAAAAAATATCAAGAATTATTATTGTTTGGTTCTCATTGGTGAGATCCTACTGTGAAATAAGAAAGTCATTACTTCAGTCTCTTGTTCCAGCAGTCTTCTCAGTTCTTCCATCTGTAGAGTAAAGTTACACTTTCCTCTGGAAAGTTTGCTTCTCTGAGCCTCCTTCTCTTCCAGCTGCCTTGAGAAATCGTCTAAAGAAAACAAATCACCAAATGAGTCATCTGAGACCTTCCTGGCTCCATCCCTTGCTCCCCTCACTTTGACTTACCTTTTTCACTCTCAGGTTTTGACTTCTGGGTGGTAACATCATTTACCAATCTGGCCATCTCTTCAAGTCTAACATTTGTCTCATTAAGTTGGTTTTCAAACAGTTTACAGAGCTTCTCAGCCTTTGACTAAGCATGAGGAAGGAAAAAGACAGAAAGTTGATTATAGCAGAGTGACCTATTTTTAGAACAAAGGAATTCATCTTTGTTCTTGACTTAGTCCTCAGACTAGCTGGCAGACATGAGTACATTTGAGGGTTTTCTGGGAGGAAAACACACAGATGGCTCAGTAGTAGGATTGGTTTATTGAAGCACAGGACAGGGACTGAACCTGTGATTTCACTGGTATAGGGAACTCCCAGGGAATACAGGCCAACATGTCATTGTTTTAGAGAGTTGCCTAGAGTACTGAGTCATTAAGTCTTGCCCAGGATCACACAGGATGCACACAGGTATGTGAGAGGAAGGTCTTGAACTCAGGTCTTCCTGGCTCTGACATTGCTTCTCTTATTATTGAAGTAATATAGAATAATGGAAGGATTAATTGGTTTCTTCAGGGATTGGGAAACAAGACCCAGTCTGATGCCCTCTTAATCCAGGTCCTTGTTTCATGACCTTGGGAGTATCTTAGACCCTGAAGAGCTAAGACAAAAGGAAGACCACTAGTTGAACATATCTTCCACACCCCAAGTAATCCATCCTTTTCTGGTGCTGAAGCACTTTATACCCTTCAGGAGGCTTGGATGGTTACATACCAGCAGTGCCCTCCTGATCTAACTAAATCTGTCTAAGAGCTTTTCTCTTTTTTTCCCCTTACTTCCTAAGGCAGCCTTGTGTAAAGCAACTGAAGGGGTGGAAAAGTTAGGAGGGACTTTGAGACATGAGATCTTTACCTTGGGAGCTGCAGGATAAGTGATAGTTGTATGCCGCACTGGGGTGTGTGTGTGTGTGTGTGTGTGTGTGTGTGTGTGTGTGTGTGTGTGTGTGTGTGTAGTTCACCGTGCTGCTTAATAGAAGAAGCATAGGTTTTAGAAACCTATGAGACCTAATTGAACTCCCTAAGAGTTCAATCTGAGGCCCAGATTTTCAAAGTGACTTGCCTCTCTGTCACAAAGGTGGTAAGTGGCCAAGCCAAGATTTGAATTTCAAAATTCATTCCATTATTTCCCTCTGCCCTATCAGTGGTTTCAGGTCAGGGTTGAGTAGGGCAAGGGAATTGCCTTGACTGGTCTATAGAATGAAGCAGGTAGACTGAGGAGCATTGCTGCTTTCCCTGCTGAACTTAAGAGCACTGACCACTCTGTTCCTCAATCTAAAGCAAGTATGAGAAATTATAGCATCAGGTCCCTTGCCCAGACCTTAGAACAGAGATGAAGAAGAGGTCAGGGGTCTGAGTTCAGAGACCCTGGTCCAAACACCCCAAATCCATCCAAAGAAGGTACAGAAGTACAACCAGTATTAAAAATGAGAAGATCCCATGAAAGCCTAGGGAGGGCCCTTTAAATGAGGAAGGGCTTAGTTGGTAAACCAGATTTCCTTCAGCTTAAAAGACAGTTGTCAGAGCAATTGCTATGGTTGCTTCAGAGAATGCTGTTGCATTGACAGAGATTGACCCCAGTCTCTGACGCTGCCCAAAATTTCTTGAAACTATCTTGGATTCTCCAGCAGAGGACATGAGTACTAGGCTTAAAGCCAGGAAAACCTGGCTTGAATCTCGCCTCAGAAACTTGCTAGCTATTTGATCCCAGGTAAGTTGCTTAACCTCACAAAGCTTCAGGTTCTTTATTTATAAAATGGGAGGAATAATAATGTCTACCTCTCAGGATTGTTGTGAGAAATGAATGATATGATGTATGTAAAGTACCTTGAAAACCGTGAAGTAGGTGGTGCAGCAGATAGAGTACCAGTCCTGGATTCAGAAGGACCTGAGTTCAAATCTGGCCTCAGACACATAACACTTACTAGCTGTGTGACTCTGGGCAGTCACTTAACCCCAACTGCCTCACCAAAAAAAAAAGAAGAGAAAAGAAAAGAAAATGGTGAAGCACAGAATCATTACATAAATGCCAGCTGTTATTAATCATTGTGTTTTGTTGTGGTTATTCACCTTTACCATTCTACCTAGCTTTGTAGTGATCAGTTGGACAGACCAAGCTTCCCATCAGGCTTAACTCTTTTTTTGTTTGTTCATTTTTGCTATTAAAATTTTTTAGGCTTATCTCTTTAAGACCCAGACCAGTAGCCTCATCCAGTACAATTGGTTGCCTGACTTAGCTGTAATAACCCCTAAATGTTGGTACATTGGAAGAGCAGAGGTGTTTTCACTTACTGAGATTATTCACAAAGACCTCTAATTTCCTTTCTCAGATTCATAAGACTCATTTAAGACAGCCTATCTCTGCCTGAGAAACGTTGTCATGTTGGCATCCATGCCTTTAACTTCCATGCCCCAAGCTACCCTTAAGCCAATCGCAAGTGGTTCCCTGACTATGTTGGTGTTGTTATTTGTTCTTTGTTCTAGACGAAGATCATGATATCAGGAAGGTGGTGCCATGACTTGCAAGTGAATTGGATTTAAGGGAGGGAGGGCTGGGCAAAGTCACCAGCCTCACTTTCTCCTCTGGAGCCATCTGGGTCCAGTGGCCAGATAGAGATCAGGATGACTAAAAATGACCCCTTCCCTGCCTATGAAATCAGAGGTGGATGACCAATCCAATTTTCCTGAATGAGAATTCTCTCCTTCATATAAGACCCACAATCCACATCCATCCACATGAGTTGTATGAAATGATGAAGGGATCTAGGTGACCTACCCACCAAAAAGGAAGCAATAATGCAAGCTTGAGACAAATCCAAACTATAGCTTCTTATAGAACCTTCTCTGATCTCCTTCCTTGTGCTGTGCCTTGAAGTGGCTGAGTGGTACGTTGATAGAGCTCTGGGCCTGGAGTCAGGAAGATCTAAATTTAAATCTAGCTTCAGCCTCTTCCTAGGTGGATGATGCTGGGCAAGTCGCTTAACCTCCATTAGCCTTAGTTTCCTCGATTTCAAATTGAGGACAATAACACCTACCTCCCAGGACTGTTGTGAGGATACGATGATATGTATAAAGTGCTTGGCAAAGTACCTGTCACATAGTAGGCACTTTACAAATGTTTGTTCCCTCCTTCCTCCTTGACCTTATCTTTGATTGCTCCTGCCCACCTCTGGGTTCACATTTTGGACCTTATTCCTTACTTTGTTTGAGTTATAAAATGTGGCCATAATAAAGGTCTCCTGATTTTAGCATTACTGACCAGTCTAATCTCTTTTACAAAAGTCTGTAAGTACTAAAGCAGCTGCAATGGTCTAGGGTATCCAATAGAGTTAGCTTGCATCTTGGTTGTTGCTGTATAATAAGGCAAAAGGTATTTGGGTGTATATTATCTGGTTTGTGGATTCTTTGTGGAATATTTTACTTATTATATAACCAGGTTTTTATGGAATTGATTAGGTAGAGATAGCATGGTGAAAGAGAAAGAGCTCAGGAATTCGAAGACCTGAGTTTGACTCTTGGCTCTAATACCTGGGACAAGTCATTTAACCTCCTTGAGCCTCAGTTTCTTAATCTATAAATAGGGATAATAACTGCATGCCCAACCTACCTCATATGGGTCACTGGATGGGCCCAATGGTAGAATATATGGAAAGTACTTACTAAATGTTCTATAGATGCAAGGTGCATTCCTTGTACTTTTTGACTCACCCACCTAGGCTATATGGAAAGTCTGGACTATGTCTACCTTCTCTCTCTCTATTTGTCTGCTAAATTTCTATCCAATCTTTAAAATGCAACTCGAATGCCACCTTCTCCTTATAGCTTTCCATGATTATCCCAATGGGTAACCAATTTCTCTCCCTCTCCTCCCCATCCCCCAGCTCCACAAAATAATTTCTCTGTACCTTTCATTTTACATTAGTCTATAGGCATGGCATATCCCTCTATTACTCCAAGCTCCATCTCTTCGAATGCCTAGTAAAGTGCTCTGCACATAATAGGCTCTCAGAAAATATTTGTTAAATTGAGTAAATAGAAATCTAAAAGCTGCCATTGGATTTTCTTACATAGCAAGCACCTTCTCACATAATGCAGTGACTGACCAAGAGACAAACACCTGAGCCAAGAAAGCTGGTGCAATGCCTTTGGGAGACTAGCCAAGTATATATTACTAGACCCCGGGTAGATGACCTTGACCTTTATGTCCTGGGCCCCCTTTGGAGATCTGGGGAAGTCTATGGGCCCCTTCTCAGAATGATGTATTTAAATGCATGAAATAATATGCACAGAATTACAAAAGGAACCAACGGTAATGAATCCTTGTTATCAAAATGTTTTTTAAAATCAATTTCTCAGACTTGAGAAATTGCCCTAGAATAAAATAGATCTATGAAGTGGCCATTTTGGTAGATAACAACGAAGCTGTCCATACCATTGGGCCAGGTAGAGTGTGTGCTTTAGTGTCACAGCTTGCCAAAGTCCAAAGATTATCTCCATGGCCATAATGAAGGTCTACTATCCAAGCAAGCCTTGTGTCAAAGTCTTTGCCCAAAGAACATACCTAACAGATGTTTTTTATACTGAACTGGAATCTAGACAGTCACACCACCTTTGAAGAGGCACAATTCTGCCAGGCTGCACATCTGTCAAGAAAGACTTATAGCAGCCATCCATTCATCCCAATGGTAGTTAGTAAGCTTAAGAACTAATATCAAACATGGTCTTTGGAAACAGTATAGGGTTCTAATCCTGAACTTGTCACTACCTGTTTGAATTAAGCAAGTTACTTTCCTAGAGACCCCTCTCTCCTCCTCTGTCAAATGAGAGGGGAACTGAATGACCGATCCAATATCAGTATTTGAGAGGCTATAATGAATAGGGATGGCAAAAGAAGGCTCTAGGCATGAAATGATTAACCATAGCCTCAAATGATGTAGTATATAGATAGCTTTCATCAGAGCAATTTTTTTTGGTGGGGAAGAGGGGTTGAGTGGAATTGACATGTTATTTCATAGATACAGGAAGCTCCCTAATTAGGAAACTAGCTCTACTAGTGCAGACCTACAGCTATTCTCCAACTTAGAGCAGGGGT